TTTCCGGCCTTCAGAACTGAGGGATAACAGAACAGAGTGTACAGGGTGGTGGCAGGGCACTACATTTAGACAGCTCTGGGCTTAGGGCCAGTGAGGCGGCTCAGGGGGAAACGGTGTCTGCTGCTAAGCAGTGGCCTAAGGTCACTCCCCAGAATCCAGGTGGTGCTAGGTGAGAACCAGCTCCTGCAAGTTGTTCTCTGACCTCCAATCTTATCATTTACTGACGAATGCTCCCCTCCAAAATAAATAAGAAATGTAAAGAGATAGAGTTTAATCCCTAGCATTGCACACAAGGCAGCCCCATGCCCAGAAACAAAACAGAACAAAGTCTAAGAACAAATCTGTCTGAGAGAGAATACTCCTGTGTTTTTAAACCAATAGATTGTGGTAGCCCTAGAAGGGTCACATGACCTTCACCTTACAAAATCCTCCTGCTCTTGCCATCAACATTTTTCTTCACTGTGCAACAGTATGTGATTCCATTAAAACACCTCAAGCCAGGTGTGGTGGTGCACGCCCTTAGTCCCAGCACTTGGGAAGCAGAGGCAGGTAGATCTCTGAGTTTGAGGCCAGCCTGGTCTACAGAGCCAGTTCCAGAACAAGCCAGGGCTACACAGAGAAACCCTGTCTGGAAAAAAAAAACCAAAACCATCATCTGTACTGGTGGCACACGTCTTTAACCTCAACACTCAGGAGGCAGAGGCAGGCAGATTTCTGTGAGTTTAAGGCCAGCCTGGTTTACATAGTGAGTTCTAGGACAGCCAGGACTACACAGTAAGACCCTGTCTCAAAAACAAACAAAACTGACAAAAGCATGTCAAATTCTGGCATTCAGCTACCCCATTTCTATTAGCTTTACTTTCTCTGTGTTTCATCTTCAAGTCCTTGCCAGGTTTGGGCTTCTTCTAAGTCTCCAGTGTCTTCTTGCTTGTCTTTATATTCCTTCAAGTAATTCAAGTAATCATAACCATACTTTGGTTCTAAATAACTCGACCTCCCAGGCCAAACAATTAAGACTTGCTGAGAGCCTTGGTTGTGAGGATTTCATGCTCTCTCTCCTCTGAGTGTTTTTGTCTCTGTCTCTTTCTGTCTTCTCTGTCTCTATCCCTCTCTTCTGTGTATGCGCATGTGCGTGTGCCTGTACAGGTATATGAGGCCAGTGGCTGACCCTGGGTGTCTTTCTCAGTTGCTTCTCCGCCTTACTTTTGCTGAATCTGGAGCTCACTGATTGGCTAGAGCTGCTGGCCAGCAACCCCCAGGAGATCTTACTGCCTCTGCCTCCCCAGCACTGGGATCATGGGTGGGCGTGGTCAGCTGAGCATGGCTGTTTTTGCAGGTGCTGGGGATCAGATTCAGGACTTTATGCTTTGGGGCCAATCACTTTCCTGACGCAATCAGCTTCTGGCCATGCTCAAGCCCTCATGATGTAGTAGCTTAGGCCTTATACAATAGTCTTCATATAAGCAAATGCACACGTACAAAACAGAACTTTAAAAAAAGTTTACTTGCATTACTTTAGACTGTATTTATTCCCAATCCACTTTTGTTTCTTTGCTTTTGTTGGTAGCATCTTTACCTTCTGTGAGCCTCTCTTCTGACTTAGGGACAAACTGTTGTTTTCCAGTGGGAAGCATCTCACTGGGTATGGGAACTCTGTTTGGGTTAATCTGAGCAGAAGCTCTGTCAGGATCACGACCATCTTAGTCCTGTGTTCACCTGCTCATGCTCAGTAAACAGAGAATCTACATCTAGATCTGCCCTGCACAAAGTGGCAGGGACTCATGATTTTTTTTTTTTTTCTTGAGCACTGCACAGACATCACTTAGGTCTCAGCATTGGTTTCTAAAAGTATGATGTAAATTCAAAAAGATCATTATTTTGTAATAATTAAAAGTGCATCCAAAACCTGCATCCTAGGCTCATGTATAAACCTTTGTGCTTAGCATACTCTTGCCCTTTCACACCCAGGCAGCACAGACTTCAGCACTTTGGGGATGCAGTGATGCAGGCCTGCAGTCTCAATGATTGAGAAGAGGAGGCAGCAGAACCAGGAGTTCAAGGTCATCCTTGGCTCCACAATTTAAGGTTTAACCCACACCCTGGAAAAAAAAAACTGTCAGCACATCCTTTGGGTTCCTGCCCATACCTACCAACCCCACTATGGCAGCCATGTAAAGTGGTTCTGTGAAGTGCAACCTTTTACATACTTGGCAGCCTTCTGGATAGGCATACCCATGATGGCCTGGGTAATTTCAAGAAGGTGTTGAAACGAATATGAAGATTTGAGCCTCTTACCTTGCATGGAGGTATTCTGCACTAGGCAAACACTGAACCACTTTCAGAGAGTACCTCGGGTTGCTTATGTGAAGGGCATGAGGCACAACTTGTGATAGTCAGGAAATACCAGTCCTGTAGCCAAAACATAGCCCTTTCTGCCTTGGGTTTTTACTTCTGAAGAAATGGTGTCTGTACCCAACATGGTTCCTCTGTTAAAGCGTAGGAGCCCTGCTTTATCTATACAAGTCTTACTACTGTCTAAAATATGCCCACTCATTTCTTCTTATAGTTGCCATCATTATCCTGGGGCCACAGAGCCATTTCCTCTTTCTTGGTCTCTCTATCTCTCTGAGACAGGGTCTCACTACATCGTGCAGGCTGTCCTGGAAATCACTGAGATCCTCCTACCTCTGCCTCCTTAGTGCCACTAGGCCTCGCTTCTCTCTTGGTCTCTTGCCCTGAATGCTGCCTCCAGAGAGCAGATAGCTCACATCCCCAGCCAAAGCCCTTCAGATCACAAGTCTGTGAGCTCTTCAGTGACCTGTCCTTACTTCTGTCTCTCTGCCTATGCTCTACCAATAAAACACCCACTTGATCCAAGTGAGTTTATGAAGCTTTTCTTCTTTCTACCTTTTCTTCAGGAGAACTCTCAACATGAAGAACTCCTCCATGTTAAACCAGCTTTCCCTCCCACACAGCTCAGTCCTCCCCACCATGGCATTTGCTACACCCTGTAATTACACACTAGATTGTTATTATTTGCCTTCTCTCCAAATAAGCTGCTTCTAGAGAGCAGCTGGCCTTCTGTCTATTTCTTGTCAGTGAACAAAGCGCATAGCACTGGGGCAGACGCAGAGGTGGTCCTGTATATATTTGTTCATTGAGTTCACCATCTTCTACTCCATCATCTCCTGCCATGAATGCATATGCTCTTAGAAAGGCTGTTCTGGTAAGAACACCTCCATTCACAAGGAAAAAAAAAACATAATATCATAAAGTTTATAAAAGCCAGAAGACTTTGTTTTTACAAACATATAAATTATTTTATTTACAAAGCCATGTTACAAAAAAAAAAAAAAATACAATCACTCACTGGAGATTATTTCCAGACCTGGTGCTGAATGAACCACGGCAGTATCATTAGATACATATTTGTTCTCTCTTTTAAGAACGGTAATTTTAAGCCATAGAGTTTACTATTTACACCTACTTCAGACGTTTATTTGCTCACAACACCACAGGCATGGAATGGATTCTATCTGATAGTGCTAATTCATAAAGGTGCAGGACAAAGAAGGAGAATGCTTAGTGTTACAAAATATGGATCATACAAAAGAAACCCACTCCACGGTGTGGCCTTTGTTGAGTATGATTGGACATGCTCTCTTCAAAATTCTTCTGGAAAAGCTTCTAAAATTGGTTAGTAGGAAAGGACAAATGAACAGGTGCAAATTCTTGTCTGTGCAACAATAGTTATTTAATTTACCCCATGACTGACCAGCTACATAAAACCCACAGAGTTTGGTTAAAGTGCCATGGGCTGACAGCATAACAAAATATAAGGTGTAAATAGAAAATTTCATTTTTTTCCTTTTCTTTAAACAAGAGTTCACTGAGAATCAGCAATAATAGAATACGCCGTATAAACTATTTTCTACAAAGGTTGATCAGCGTTATTTACAGTTGGTACATTGATACAAAAGAAGGCATACAAGTTATCCAACTCGATTTTTTGATTTTTTAAATTTTATATGGCTGACAGGTCTATGCATTGCGTTATGCTTAACATCCAGAGCCTCTGTGGCCGGCGACGTGTCAGGAGCTCCCCAGGTGTGCAGGGGTGTGAGCAGCCAAGGGTCTGAGACAGAAGGCTGAGTGGGGTGGGGGAACAGAAGACCAGAAGGGTACCACTCTCTTGATGCTTTAGGGGTTAGTCCAACTGAATTCCATGAGAACAAACCCAAAGGAAATCTTTTCTTTGCATTCCATTTATTTTTCTAGCTGCAAGCGTTTAATACATCAACCTGGGGACGACTGTGAAGGAAGAAATACCGTGGGTTTTCCCTTTTTGCTCAGTTTTCTGGAATTGTCCTCACCTTTTGGTCAAAGCAGTCTCTCAAGTAAGCAGCACTGGGTGGAGAGCCTCTTTCTTCCGGCTATGGATGCATGGCACAGCGAGGGCCGTGCTGAAGCCTGCTTGCTTCCTCGGCCTCTGTGAATCAATCCACTGTTTCTCAGAAGCAGCCATTTCACCTCCCAACCCTTGTTTTCCCTCTTTGAGTAGAAGGGTACAGACCAGAGGCTTTTTCTGTTGCTGAGACTTGTTTTGTTTTTAATCCTGCAAGTTTTACAACTCAAAATAAATTATGTATTTATATATATATATATATATATATAAAACCAACAGACATCTAAAACCAAACAAGACAAAAATTGTGCAAAAATAACAAAGATATGTACACACTTTTGAGTCTGAAGAAATGTACAATAAAAGCATAATTCAAAGAACATTTTAAAAATATAAACATTGCTTAAACTTTCCTAAGTTTCATATTGTTTTTGAAACTATTCTGGTCAGTTAGCTCTGTAATATAGTAAAACATAAATTATTACAAAATTAACACTATAAAAATTTACTTTAAGAATATCTTCTAAACTTTTTCAAAGGATCTAACCTTGTTTATAATTTCTTAAACATTTATAAGTCTTAAAATCTGCCTTAACATTAAAAAAAAACAAAACCCAAAAAACAAAAAAGTAACAATTGTCCCTTGAATTTGCAGTCTCCCTCCCCACCCCACCCCAGATGTAAATTAACCAGCATATAAGTGCACTTTTAACAGTGGAGAAAGAAAAACAAAATAATCATAACCAATGTCCTAGTACTTGCTTAATATCAACTCCTGACTTCAAAAACAAAACCTTCATTTTCTATTTAAAAACTCAGGAGTCCCTTAAGAAACACTGTCAGTGCAATTGCATCGACGGAAATCACTCCTTTTGCCTCCCGTCTTTGCAGCTTCCAGTCCTAGGATGAAACTCAACAGTAGTCTGATCTTTGGGTTGGGAGAAAAGGAATGGGAAGGAAAATTTGGGGGAGGGAAGAAGGGAGGGAGGGAAGGAGAAAGAGAGGGAAAGAGGGAGGGGGTGTGCCCAGCTGCAAAACTAGCATTCACGTCTGATTTCAGGTCAAAGCCCAGAACACCTGCTTCATGTGTGAATTCTCTTCCTGACCCTGCACTGGAGCTTGTTGGTGCTGCGGTTTCTTTCAAACTCCAACAGGAACAGCTGTGGTGCTCCAGTGCCTCCTTGCCTGTGTCTCTTCCTCTCTATGCTTGTCCTTACCAGGGCACTGGGCTGTCTGAGTTGGGGCCTCTGAAGATGGACTGCAAGCATATCTAAGGTGTGGGTGTGTGACCGATGTACTTCTTTCCCACAAGGAGTTTGGCACAAAACCCTCCCTGCAGACTTTCTTCTGGAGGATTCTTTCTGGCCCCAGGACCATCACAGGAGCTATGGTCACTGTGCCACCTCATGGAGTGGCTTTCCTGGTCCCTGTGGGCTTTCAGCTGACCCATCTTAAGGATAGTGTGCAGTGCGCCCTGGAAAAGACTTCAGAGTTTATTTATTCCAAACACCCTCCGACCATCCCAATCATGGGGTTCCTTCCCAATCATGGGCTTCCTTCCTTTCCTCTCAGGTAAGGTCCCTCTGCCCCTGTACCTGACCAGGTGTATCCTTTCTGAACTGCACAGCTAGGCCTTGGCACTGAGTGAACCACATCATTAAAGTGCCACTGACCTCACTTTAGCTGTTGGAATTTGGCTCTGGACAAGAAGAGCTACAGAAACTAATTGGAGGTCTTCCCCCATCGCCATGAAGCAACTCGAAGCACAGGCTCCTCCCCAGCAAGTCCCCCCACCAGCATGTGGTCCAGCGCTGCTGGTGGGAGCCAGCAGCTTCTGATGGCCACTGGAACATGACGACTGTCAGGTGACAATGGAAGGGCAGGGCGGGAAAAGACTCGGGAGAGAATGAGCTCTGCACGTGCTAAAAGTTCACGAGCTTCCACGGGCGCCAACCCAGAACCGGAACCCGGAACCAAAACCCGAAACCTGAACCCGGAAGGGGAACCAACAGTTTGTAATCTCTATTCCCAGGGTTGGAGCAAAATGACGGTGTACTAGCAGCATCAGGAGCAAGGGGAGCGACCCCAGACGTGGAAGAATGTATAAGACACAACAAATGAAAAACAGAGAGAAAACACTGTTTTCTGTAAATCTTAAATTCAGGTTCTTTTGCCTTTTTTTTTTTTTAAACAAAAATCCATGTTAAAAAAAAAAAGAAGAAGAAAGGCCAGAGCCACAGGCAGCAAACAGGAATCACTCCCCTCCACAGGCCAGTGCCCTCCCTTCTCCAGACTTAGTCTCCTGGGGAGGATGACAGATAGATTGGACTGGTGTAAAGTGGCTTTACCATCTTGTTAGGGTAGAGTCCTTATCCTGCCCATTCTGCTTGTGTTCTTCTAGGAAAGAAAAGAAAAACTTGTCTCATTCAAGAGGATCCATGAGATTACTGGTGGGGGTGGGGGGAAGACACCTCAGTTTTCTTGTATAACACAGAAAGGAAAAGAACCCATTACTGCTAAGAGCAGTCAGACTTTGCAACTACAAGGATGTCCACGTGTCAGTTCCAATAGCTCCAAGGCTAGAGGGAAACATGGGCACAAGTGCAGCGGGCACTCGTGGGATCTCTCCTGGATAGAGGGCTGGGATACCTGCTTGTTTTCTTTGTATCTTTACTTTTATTAGCAAAACTTTCCTACATAACGTAAATGGCACGGTGAGTTACCAAATAAAGGCATATAGTCCTGGGTTAAACGGGGGGGGGGAGCCTTGGAGATCTGGGGTACAAGTGGCTAATCTTCTGAGTGGCTATCGTCACTTATCAGCTGAGTGCAATCTTGTCCCTCACAAAGTTACTATAAAGCTTCAGTGACAGAGATGTCCGTGAAGGGCCAAGCACAGTGCCTGTAGAGAAACGCTCTCAAGCTGGCAGTAGCTACTGTCATCTTTATATACTTGCCACAACCAGCTGCCGGCATCTGAGTCCCTATCGGGAGCTAGGCGTACACTAAGTTGTTCTAGCAAGGGTACAAGTGTATTCTCCAGGTGTGCACAGTGACCTCTAGAGAGACCCCCTCAACAGAGGCTACTGTTGGATGCAAGGCTCTCTTCAGGGCTAGGAAAGCATCTGCCTGCAGCTGCTTAGTTACACAAAGGGCCAAGGACCCTGGGGGTCCTCCAGCCTCTGGAGATGAGAAAACAGCTCCACCCTCAAACTCTGACCCAAGATTTATGGGAAAATCCCAAAGAGCAAAACACCAACACACTGCTTGCTAGTCACTATTTACAAACCCAGATCACACACTTATGTTTGAGGCAACACATCAACCTGTTTGTGCTTTCTACACCACCTAAGAGACATATCTAACTGCCTCCCCGCCTTCCCCCTACCCCCAGACACGCATGCATGCACCTTTGGATAAAGTCACTGATTTTACACACTTACTGCTCTAACTCAAGTTTATCAAAACCACTGCCAGTCTTTGTGAGTGTTCCCACTGTGCGAACACACTGAATGGGAGCTGCAGTTTCCCCCAGGGTCTTGAAGAGGGCAGTGGCCAACACGCACCACTAACAATGTCCTCTGCTACCTTATTTTACCTTCATGATACCCTTAGGAGGTAGTACAAACAAACCCAAACCCAACAACCCAGAGAAGAAATCTGCAGACACCACAGTCCAGGTAAGAACAATCATTATAGCTAACACATGGATTTTCCTTATGTGCCAGAGAGTGTTTTGCTGTTTTCTCAGAGACTTTACGTGAACAAACTAATTTCTTCTCATGTAGGTCATAGGACCTTAGGGACCATCATGATCCCCATTTTATAGAGGAAGAAGTGGGAGCATAGAGAAGTAAAAAGCTCAAGGCTCCAAAGCTTAGAACTAGAAGCCCCTTGTTTAGAAGCCAGGTGAGCCCTTTTAGCTGGAGGTGAGATTTGAACTAGGGTCTGAGTCCAGTGCACAGCCTTCTGGCCTGATGTTCGCATTATGTGGTTTCTCCCACCCCTAGAAACTTACCTGTCGGCTGTGTCCTGGGTTGGATATGCTTGCAGGACTGGGTTGTGACAAAGCTAGGCTGCTATTTTTCCCAACCTGAAAGACACCATGAACCCCCATTCAGACACAGAGGCAACTTGGAAAAGACCCTCTGTTGTCACATGTTGTCAGGGCAGAAGAGCAGAACAGTCCTATATGCCATAACCCCTTGATTACTCAGAGTGGATGTTTCCAACTTAACTGGCCGGAAAAGGGACAACAGTTTCTGGGGGCTTCTGGTATGCCCCTCTCCCAGAGATAGAACAACAGTGGGAGCTCTTCGTTTTGTTCCTTAGATGTGCAGACCACAGGAGGCAGAGCTTGTCATTCTGTAGCACAAGAACCCATCTTTCTGACCACAGTGCAGGCCCTACAATAAAGTATCAGGACTGTCTGGCTTAAAAAACATTCGGCCCCTTCTTCAGAAAACCAGCTATTGTGCTTGTGCAGGGAAGGAGGGAGAGTAGGGTCCCTGGGATGGTAAGATTGAGGATATATGTAGCCTCTCCCTGTAACTGTCCTTGGTCCCTAGTAGGGTGGGCTCAGAGGGGAGCTGATGGCAGTCCCGTGGCCTCAGGCCATTTGCAAAGGCAGCTATCGCTCCCCGCCTCAAGCTCCTCCACTGTCTTCATTCCTCCTTTGCATATAGGCACAGGCCTTTCAACCACAGTACTGTTCTATGTTCAATTTTATACCTTAATGAGAATTTTGGCCTTTTCCTTTGCAGGTACAAGTAGAAGAACCTGTAAGTCGTCTGCAAGTCACACACAGTTTCATTTTGAATTCGTTTTTTTGAGACAGGATCTCATGTAGGCTCGGCTGGCCTGGAATTCACTAAGTGGCTGAGGATGACCTGAACTCCCGATCCTCCTACTTCCATCTTGCCAGTGCTGGAATTACACACGGGCCACCAGACCTGGCTCTCATCTTGAGCTTTCTTCCCTGCCTTCTCACAGAAGTGACACAGATGCCAAAAGCCTTTTCCTAATGCTTGGAAATGTCCAGTGGTGAGTCTAGCCAAAGCCATTTCTCAGTGGTGACAAGCATTGAGCTAGCACTACCACTTTGGGGGTTGGGTGCTGCCTGGCCTGCAGGCAGCTGTCAAGGCTCTCCTAATGCACATTCTCTGGGGAGGCTTATCTGCTCTTTCTCAATGCTAGTTTTGCTGATTCATCATGCTGACTAAGCATTTCATGCAGTCTATTGCCAATAGGCCAGTGCTCAGTACATAGACACTGCAACTTGACAGAGCCAAGAGCCTAGAGCCCAACTCCTGCGTTTAAGTCCCAGCCCACTATTCACTTGCGGTGTGACTATGGTAATCTTGTGGAACCTTCCTATGCTTGTTTGACTCACGTATAAAATGGCTTAATAATGGGTTAGGTATTGGGTTCCTGCATCTGAAGTGTTTGGGGACAGGAACTATCAGTTACATATTGTCAGCTGTGAGAACTTTGGAGGGAAGTTCTTTTAAATGAGGAAAGCAATAGGACTTTGCTGCCACGGGGAGGTCCACAGGCCAGAGGGGTGGCCCTAACTAGCAACCTGTTAGAAACATGGACTCCCTGGTCTTACTCCAGCCCTTCAATCTGCCTTTCACAAGATCACCAGGTGGACTGTGGGCAAATGTTCCAGTATAAGAAGCTGTGTGTGCCTCTTTCTGAGTCTATAGAGGGTACTGGCTAGCAATCTCGTCTCCAGGTAGAATCTGGAGGGTGATGGCTGTATATGATATTGGAGGACCCATGTCTCACCTTGGCCAAGGCTGTGGCTGTCTGGCCCTTACCCCTGTGTGTGCCTGTGAATCCCCATCAGGGGGTGCTTTTCTAGGGGTTTCGCTAAGTGTTATATATGGTGATACAAAACATTAAAGCAGTGGTTCTCAAGATATGGGTCATGACCCCTTTGGGATAGCAACCCTTTCACAGGGGTTCCATATCAGACATCCTGCATATCAGATATTTATGTTATGATTCATAACAGTGGCAAAATTACAGTTAGGAAGTAGCAACAAAAATAATCTGATGGTTGGGGGTCATCACAGCATGAGGAACTGTATGAAAGGGTCACAGCATTAGGTTGAGAACCACTGTGTTGAAGCATCTTTTAATAACCATCTCCAAAGTCCGCGTGCCTAAATGGCTCTTAGGGTCTCATGTCCGTTCATGGTGGCAAACCGGGGCTACTGTTGTCTCCAATAGAGTGAGCAGCTCTCAAAGCCCACTTGGAGCAGACTTGGGGAACCTGAGCCCCTGCCCTCCAGCTCGGAGCTCCCATGTGGTGGACCCAGGGTAGTTGAGGGCTGTCATCAGCAGCTCCCCCCAGCCTAAGGAGATAGCCTGGATTTGTGAATGGGAATAGAGATCAGAGAAAGCAACAGTGTTCTCAGGCCATCCACACTTCCTGGCTTCCTCATGGTGCCTCCTCTTGTGGGTAATCTGGAACCGAGCACTCTTTTGCTTTAGGAAGGGAGGAGCTATATCATATACTAGGAAGGTGGGGAGGGTGGAGACAGCTCGATGAGGTAAGGACAATCACTGGGCACAGTCAGGCTGCCAACTCTCCAGGTGGGACCTGGGCATCACTTAACCAGCCTGGGTCTCGGGCTTATCTTGTGGGGATGCCAACAGATCAGAACAAACTGCTTAGCAACAGAACTCTTTAATGAAGTAGTCCTCAGGACCTCAAGATGCCAAACAAACAAAATGAGTGGGGGAACTCCGAGCCTCTGTGTGTCTGGGTTTACCCCTACCTGTAAAGTGATGACCATTTTGTATCCCCCGCCCCCGGGCTGGGTTGGTGTGAGGACCAAAGGAAGTGGTTACTGTAAAGCGCTTAGCATTGGGGACTAGCAAAGTGAATGTCTTACCAAGAACGCTCAGAGCACAGGGTGAACATTGCCTATGGGAACCTGGGGAAAGGAGCCATGCTTGTGTTACCTGTGTGGGCCACCTGGCCAAGCAGGGGCGCTGCCCAGCTCCCCCTGCCCCCCAGAGCCGATGAAGGCAGTGCCAGGGGCTCCCTTACCTGCCGAGAGGAGGTGCTGTTAACGGGATCAGGCACCGGTGCAAGAAGGCTGGGTGGGTTCTTTTTGTGAACGCTATTCATACCAGGCATTTTAGTGATCTTACAGGCTTTGCTACTAGGACTTGAGTTCTTACGCTTTTTTCCTTCTGATTTGTCAAAAGAGAGGGGCAGAGAAGACACAGCACTGTGTGAGGCCAGAGAGAGGTCCCCTGCGTGGAGCGCAAGGGAGGGCACGGAGAGGGGACAGGAGGCACTGCTGCCACCCACGGCGCCCACCTGTCTCACTATGTCCATGGGGCCGCTGGGCAGTGAGGTCCGTCCTGAGGGCTCCAGCTTGGCACTGAGTGGGCTTACCCCGTTATTTGAGTTGTGCACAGACAGGCTGTTATAGGGAGGGGCTGCCTGATAGGAGTTCAAAGCGGAACTGGCATTCAAAACGCAGTTCTTTTTGTGGGGCCCTGACAATGGAGACGAGAGGGAAGCCTGCAAGGGTAAGGAGGAGGAAGTGGAGGACTGCGGCTTCCTCTTTTTGTTACTTGGAGATTCGTCGCTACGAGCTGACAGGTCTTTCACTTTTGAGGATTTGCTGGTTTTGGTTTTGGATGGCTTGTGGGATGGGGAAGGAATGACAGCTGGTATCGGGGACACGGCGGATGGGGCCTTGAAGGTTGAGTCCATGATGCTGAGGGTTGCAGCCACATGGGGGAAAGCTGTGGTGTGGGACATGAGGACGCGTGGGTCCGGCGATGCCACAAAAGCTGCGTCTGAGAGCATGGCTGATGTCATTATGTAAGAAGAGGTGAGTCTCGAGCTGATGGGAGCTGAAGGAAGATACACAGCACTGGGGTTGCTGAAAGGCTGCAAAACGGATGCTGGAACAGGGGTGGTGATGTGGGCTGCTGGCGAGGGCATGGGGCTATCTGCCGCAGGAGGGATCTTCCTAAACACGAGAGAAGAGCCAAAGAGAAACAGTGAGACATCGAGTTGGCATCGCCTGGGAGGCCCGGGTGAGCTTTGATCAGCAGGGCTACAGAGGACACCCGGCAGGACCAGACTATGGAGAATGAAGCCTTGACGGATGGTGAGATCTGAAGGATGGCCCTTCCCTACGCTGTCCGCTGTCCGCTAAAGCAACACCAGCATCTATCTTAACCCCTTCAGAGCCTGTTCTCCATGCTTAGCTACTGGAGACTGGCTCATCTGGGTTCACGAAAAAAGGCAAATGCTGTTAAGACTATAAATATCCTGAATAGCGTCCCCCACCTCACACACCTTTGGCAGTGATAAAAGTAGTTTTCAGTGAGGAGAAAAGGCCTTAGACACCTGGACATGTCCCTGTCTGCCTACTGCAATCTCTTTCATTCCTTTTTGTCCCCACACTACTTTTAGCTGGACACATTTTGGAAAAGGCCTTCCTCACACTTGTCAGCCTCCTCTTGTACTTGCTACCCAATGCCTCTGGCTACTCTGGAGAGAGTCATTTCCATTTTACCTCATGGCCGCTGGATCGTGGTGGCCATGGGAAGTCAGAAGTTTGGAAAATGATTTTATATATATATATATATATATATATATATATATATATATATATATATTTCCCACTCTTCCTTGCCCTACTTCAGGGGGATTGGCATGGGGCAGCCCTTCAATAATTCTTCCTGTTCCCGAGCTGGGTAAAGGTAAGCGTCCAGGACCCTAGTGTGCCCAGAGGGGACCAGGAGTTTAGGTGCAGGATATTTAGGTGCAGGATATGGGCAGAAGAGCAGCATGTGAGCAGGGAGGAATAGGAAAGCCACTGTTTTTTTGCTTGGCTTTCTTGGAACTGGTGGGGGATGGTGCCTAAGGGCAAAGTCCTTGGAGCCAATGACAACATCAGGCAGAGAGTCATTCTTAAGGGTTTTACATCCTTTTTTTTTTTTTTTTTTTCTACACAGAGTCTCACCATGTAGCCCCAGTTGGTCTCGAACTTGTGGTCTTCCTGCTTTAGCGTTCTAAGTGTGAGCTTAAAGGTACATGAAAACACCTAGCCATAAAACCATCTCTGCCTTTTGACCTGTGTTGGAAATGGCTCCACTTCCATGTATGGCTTTGGTCCATGCTGCTGCTACTCTTGGGACCAGGAATGCGGGGGTGGGGGGTGGGGTACAACAGCCATGGGATCACAGCCTGCTCCTGATTTTGCAAGAAATAAGTGACCTTAGGAGGCAGAGAATGCTTTCAAATTAGTTATCTTTTGGGGGGAGCTCTCTGCTTGTTCCCCAGCGCATGTTTGCAGGAGCTTTCCTTCTGTGAGGTTAGCACCAGGAGGCCAGCTCGAAGCCCAGGGGAAGACAAGACTCTAACAGCCCCTCCTCCTCTGCAGGCCACCTCTAGCTGATAGGGAAACCCTCTCCTAGCATTCACCTCTGACGATCACTTGTCTGTCACTTGTAGGAGAGCCGGCGGCTTCCACATCTAGGGTGGAATCCAGTGGCAGCCCTCAGTCTGGAAGCACGCTGTCTTTGAAACTGTCTGACCAAGAAGATCAACTGTAAGAGAAGGGTGCTGCCAAACCCACAGCAGCTGTGATGGCGTCTGACATTAAGGCCCCTGTCAGCCCTAAACGAGATGCTGCCCAGATATTTTTCTGGATGAATGGATGAGTGTATGAACAGATGGATGGATGGAGAGGTGGATGGGAAAGCAGGTGACCTCAGCAGCAACACAACTGTATTGTCGGGGACTACGCATGCTGGGCAGGGATTTCCACAGAGGCAGACCATGGAGGCCTGCACACATCCTGAGAACTGTCTGGTCCTACATAACCCTTTCTTGACAGGATGAGGGCATATTCTTGCAGGTAGTAGCAACTCTCTTGCTATCTTTGTTACCCTAGTTTGTACTGCAGGTGCCCTCCCCCCCACCTCCGCTTATGTTCTTACCATCTAAATTCAGAGAAACAGACACAGTGGTGGAGGTTTGACCATGACTTGTAATAAGGGTAATTTACAGGCACCAGATAGTTAGTTTACTTAAGGGGTTGGGGCTTCACTTGAATGGGACACATCTTAATGTCCCAGTAAACATACTTCAGATTGTGCAGACAGTCCTAAATCTTACTTGGCCCCTGCACAGGACTGGAATGGCTGTAACGTCTGGTATACTTTCTAGACCTTTCTTTCCTCTCCTCTCTAACCCTGAGTGGTGGAGAAGTGGGGGGGGGAGGTCTCTGCAAGCCTTGTCCCCCATGCTGCACAGTTTCAATGTTTCTTAGGTGGCCTGTGGCAGCAGGTTTCACCTTCCTGGGGCTGCCTGACTTAGGCTTTGCACACTGGCCTACAGGAAGTCCCATATGAAAGCCCCAGGGTTGTGAATAAATTCCTGACGGCTCCCCTCCTCCCCTGCCAGCTGGCATGGAGATCCAGATGCTGACCTGGCTGAAAGAGAATACTGTGTTGGCGTCTCCTGATGCAGAGTTAAATGCTTGTTAAAGAAAAAAGAGTCTTGGCCGTTCCTTTTCTTCCTAATGTCTTCCACGCCCCCATCGGCTGCCATCCCTCCAGGTTCGGGCCCTTCGGGGCCTGGAGTTTGGGCAGCGAGGCTGAGAGGGCAGCGGGGTGCTACGCTCTCCAGAGTTGACACCCAGGCAGCCCCAATGTTGCTCAGTGACAGCAGATTGGTAAGGCAAGTCCTGAACAGAGGGGAGGGACCTGACGCCCTGTGGCTCGGGCTTCTGTGCCTGAGGAGGAAAGGAATATGGAGCTTGAGCTGACAGAGCACCAGCGAGCAAAATACAGACCAACACATTCCTTCCACGTGCCGGGGATGTACACTTGTATAACACAGGAGACCAGAGAGTTGGGAGAATCACCAGGGCTGGCTGCCATGTTTAGGAGCTAATGCAGACGGGCTAGGTCATCAAATAACACAGAGCTACATTATCCCTAAGCAGGACTTTCTAAGAGTCTGAATGCATATGGACAGAAATTGATAATGCCATGCAGACACGCAGGGCCAGGGCAGTGATCACGTCGGAAGACATGATAAGCTTCTCTTGTGGCCCTTTCCTAGATGACATACCAACATCTGTCCTGAGTGCCCTGTGAGTGCTCAGCAGAAAAAACAATGGGGGCTCAGTTCTATGTGAGCAAAGGGGTTAAGATGACTGGGGAGAAGAACAGGCTGTGGGTTCTGTTTCCTCTGTTTCTCAGGATGCCCTATGTCCTCTCCTGGGTTTCACTGGGCAAGATGAGGGTCTCAACTACTACTGGGACCCAGACTGACATTATCCATCCTGTTATTAGAGTACACACCCAAGCTCCCTTAGGAGTGTGGGTAGGACACTCAGATTAGCTAAGTGGCCAAGATGTAGCTTCATGTGTGTGAGGGTAGAGAGGGTCCAGCCTCCTATTCCAAGAGGATTCTAGGTCTCCCTTTATGTAAATTAAAGTGCATTGGGAAATGTTGGAGAATAAACAACAGATCTTAAGCTGGAATTTAAAGGGGAAGAGAGAGAGAAAGAGAGAGAGAGAGGGGAAGTGAGGGGAGGGCCCTAGGGAGATGAGACAGACCAAAGACAAACTTAACCGACTTCACGACATTGTTCAGAATCTGCCTTATTAGTTTTTAATGAGGGCAGCAACTAACTAGAAATTGGTTTGTAACCATTATGAAAAATTTACTCTTGCTCCTGAACCATTAAGAAACATCACAAACAGAAGTGCATTCTTAATATCTTTAGACAATCTGAGTAGTGATTAAAAAAAAAGTCCTATAATCCTATAGTATAAACACAATTTTACCCAAGATCCTTTTCATTTAGTTTAGAAGATTACCAATACAACCATCTCCCAAGAAGACAAAGCAAAGAGCAGGTTGTTGGTGTTTCTAAAAAGTTATTAATTAGAGCTGACATTTCAGAGTCAATCAGCAATCCTGACCTCAGGCTCATTTTGGTCTATGGCAAGCCAAGTGCTGGGGCTTGTCTACAAGTTTAGGGCTTAGGCAATGGTAGGGCAGCTCTTATGTCATATCACAAAGGAACTGCTCACTTACTTCCACATCTGCGAATTCAAGTGTTTTTCTACCATGGAGTTTAGTGCGAACCGAAAACGATCCCATCTTCTATCAAACACATAGTATCCTCGTCCCATGAGGCGACTCCCAAATGAGCAGAACTATGAGGGGGAGAAAACATTTTAATTTTGATTACAGGTTAATAAGCTACACAGAGAAAAATAACATTTGCATAAAAACACACAGGGGTACCATTTTACTCAAAATAAAAGAAGCAACTGGTACTGAAGCCAAAAATATTTCTATGATGCTGTAGTATGAGTTCTGGATTCCCAGCAGAACCTCACATTTAAGCCAGTGATTGTGCCATTTAGTTTTCTGTGGCCTGAAGGGCCATACTTCTTACTTCTGGGACGGAGCCAGTATTTTAGGGTAGAAAACAAGAGAACAACTAAACTTAGGGAGACACTGCAGCTCCACACCACCCATTATCCCTAGGAACTTGGGGTTCCCTGCCTCCATTCTAGGGATGAAAATGGCTGGTTCTGCCTTTCTGAAGCCATACAGCTGTTTTCTCCAGGTGAAATGCCTTTCTACATCAGTCCCAATCACATCTGCATTCTTTTTTTTTTTTTTTTAAGATGTATTTATTTTTATATTTTGGGTGTTTTGCCTACTTGTATGTCTTTATGAAAATACCAGATCCCTCAAACTGGAGTCACAGACGGTTGTGAGCTGCCATGTTGGTGTCAGGAACTGAGGTCTTCTGGGAGAGCAGCCAGTACCCTTAATCACTGATGTCTCTCTAGCCCCTAGAACACTTTGTGGGTTTTTTTTTGTCTATTCATTTGTTTTTCTAAAGACAGGTCTTACTGTGTAGCTCTGGCTATCCTGGAACTAACTCTGAAGACCAGGCTGTCCTTGAACTCACAGAGATCCATCTGCCTCTAGCACTTCCACACACTTCATTTGCTCTCATAAGATGCCCAGGAATACATCACAGCTCTGAGCTGTTACTTACCCAGGTTCCCTGTGTCTGCTGCTTCCCTCTTTAACAATTATGACCTACCCTTTGATGCCCAGTTTATCATTGCTAATAGCCTCATCTAACTGAACCCCTCACCCCCTACTGAGGACACAGAGTGGATCCAGGGTGTCACCACCAAAGATGGAAGTCTCCATGGAGTCAGGCTGGGTCGGGTCAGATAGGAGGTGGGGACAAAATATCCAATCTGATTAAAACACAGAGTCTCTCCATGGGGATGCATGGTACATGGAGAAAACAGGAAGAAGGAGAAGGAGGAGGAGGAGGAGGAAGAGGAGGAAGAGGAGAAAGAAGCTCTGAGGCTCTATAGAGCCAGCCATTTTGGGTCAGCGATGAGGCCTGGGACAAATCATCCTGTCCGATTAATTTCCAGACTATCGCTACCAGAGAGGAAGGACTTGTAGAGATAAAGGAAAAATAATAGGCTTTGAGGCTCATGGTATCAGGGAGACACGGGGCCACGAGAAATCCAGGGATAAAGCATCCCTTCACCTTAGGATCCAGAGTGTCCCTACCAGGGATAAACAGAACATGGAGAATACAGAAAAAGGAGGCTTCAAGGCTCCATGGAGCCAGGCCATTTGGTTCAGTGATGAGATCTGGACAAAACATCCTGTAGGCTTAACTCCCACAGAACGACCACAATCTACAATAGATTATGCTTCATTTAGACTCATTCTGTACACATAATTACATATGTGATGTCTATCAATGTTTAAAGTGTGGAATGTCATTCTCATCCTCCTCAGTATTAGGATTATAGAGATTAGGAATAAAAAGGTGGGGGGGAGGGGAATTAGGATTTAGGGAGCTGAGGCAGGAGGATTAAGAGTTCAGAGCCAGCCTGGGTTACACAGTGACACCATCTTAAAGAAAAAAAAAAGTGGACTGGGAGAAAACTTTTCACAGAAATAGTCAGGCATTTAATAAACACTGATTCTGACGTAGGGACAACTGGAGGCCAGTGAACGACAGGAGTGCAAGAAGCAGCCTCCCTGAAGGTGACATTTGGTGGGTCTAGAGCTCAGGGAAGTCTGCAAATGACTCCATAACTCAAATGGCACTCTCCCCAGCCCCCCAAGCCTCCAGCAGCTCCCTGGCTGCACGCCCAGACTCAGTGCTGGGTTGGCACCCATCACACACACGCATCCTGGAGCCAGCTCTTGGAACCATTCTCAGGAGGAGCCACAGGATCTTCCCTTTGTTCTTTGGTAGAACCTTGCTACCCACAAAGTCTGATACTGCAAATTACTTACTACAGCAAGTTCTTACTGACCAAGGAGGAAAACATACATGGTAACTCTTCAACACAGAAGCTGGTCTCCACCTCTCTGTGGGAGCTGTTCCTGGTGTAGCCATCACTTCCTCTTTCATCCCACTTGCTAAGGACACATTGAGCAAGGGTTTATTACAAAAAAATAATTTAATGTGTCAGTTGGCCATGAGAAAAAAAAAAAGGACAAAGCAAAGAAACAGACCCACGGTTTTTCCATTTTTGTCAGCAAAACATTAAGAGCCTATAATGCCACTGTGGCTGGAGCTAATGTTCTGTAGCAGCTTCCCTGCGAACAGATGTCTTGATGCTCTCCAGATCCTGGCCTTTTGGGAGAGGCCAGTATCTCTTTCAGACTTGGGAGCTAGAGGCATCTTTGGTTTTGGCTTACCTGCGTGTCTAATACCACTTAGGTGCAAGGACAGATATCTAGGGAAGCTGGCGTGTGCCTTCAGCAGAGCTGCAGGTGTCCACTGTGGCAGGCCCTGCTGCTGCTGCTGTTATCTGCCGTGCCCTGCCTTACTTGGCCCTGTCTTCTCCTTGCTAACACAGCCACATTTCCATCCTGATATCTTGTCTGCAGCAGGTACGGAACAGATGTGCCTCCTCCCAGGCCTTGGAATGAGACACAGCTGAGTCACCGTGCTCCTTTCCTTCTCTGCCACCTGCCAGTGTAGCGACAGACATGTGGCAGAGTCCTACTCCACGCACGGGGACATCTGCTGGGGTTTCATGGGAAGCTCTTATTTTGTAAATGAACAAAGCACAGCATCTTGGGAGACCCCTTTTCTTTGTGCCCCCTTCCTTTCTGTTTATAATGCCACCAGGAGCAGATATGGCGCTGCGGCTGTGGCGGATGTATTAAAACATGAACGGCAAAGATATGTACAGACCAAGTAGAAAGGCTGCGCTACGGCTGGAAAAGCACCTCCCACGAGACCTCTTGCCATGTAAGATAATGAAATGTTCCTCGTGCGCGTATGGAGGAGGTTTTCTACAATTGCAGACAAAATCATGACATCTGGTCCCTCACTATTTCTGCACTGGCAAAGTCTCAGGTTATAGGTGAGCCACAGGTCACCATCATCTCAGGTAAAAGGAAGTGGCACACGCATGCAGGAGGAGAGAGCAGCCTGGTCTTCGAGCAGGGTTGATTTCACTTACAAAGCTCTTGAGATCTAGAGTCAGTCAGAGAAAATCCTGAAGGCTCAGGCTGGCACTGGAATGAACCACCATGGAGTCCATATTCCCAGCCTTGGGCTCTGTAGTTGGCAACGTCAGCCACTTCCTTTCTCAGAGGGTTGTAAGGCAAATGTGAAACAGCTTTCAAATGATGCCTTCATTTCCCTTCCTGCCGTCAATGACCATCTCAGCTGCTAGAGCGCGTTCACTCAAACAGCATTCATCAATAAGCAGCCACGCTGACGTGAAGCACTGGTCCTCACCACCAGCTCTGTTGCCATACGGTCACACTTGCAACAGTCAAGCACAGAGCCACCAGGGAGAGTGACGAGAGCTGGGACCTGGGTTGCTGCTAAGACAGTTTCTAGAGCAAGTGCATCCAGCTAACTCTAGACCAGGGGTTATGTTTTTCAGATGTGCAAAGTCAGAAGGTTGGCTCCCAAGGGCACTTATATAGACACCATTTCTCAAGCATTCTTAAAGGACTATAAGCATCGCTTCTCCCGCCAGTCCCTCCCCCCACCTTTCCTTCCATGATGTTCAAGATCATCTCTAATGCCATCCAGCTTTAGGAAAGCCTTCTGATGACACTATATTCTGGGATCCCATTCGTTAGGAACACAGGCCTCTGTTGCCATCACCAAGGTGCTTTCGAAGCACAAGGGACACAGCACAGAAGGGACAGAGGAGGCCTACCGCAAGAGGTCTGGGATGGTGCGTGGAGAACTGACAGTCTAACTTTTCGCATTCGTCCGCTCCGTCCATCTCCCCTTCATCACTGGACAGTCGGCTGGCAAGGTCACCTCCAGCTGGGGGCAGTGGGGGCTCCGGAGTGTAGACACTGTGATTTGAAGACGCACTGCTGCCTATGCTATTTGCAGATGACGGCCTAAGGGGAGGGAGGAAGAACACACATGGTAAGCTTTCTTGAGGAAATCAGATCCACCACCCAGTTCATGACACCAAGAAGCAGCCCACGACCATGTCAGGGAGGGCGGGCCAATGGCAGTTTCCTAGAGGGAAAAAAAAATTAAGCCTGAAGGGTCCATGGCTCTCTGCAGGGATGTGCAACACATTTGGGCGCTCTCCGGCTTGCTGCCTCTGGGGTACAATACAAGCCCAAGGGGAAAACCCTAGTGTGAGGGGGGGGAGGGGTTGTGACAAGTGCACTTATGCTGAGCCTGTCTTCTTCGAGCTCTTCTGCAAATACCCCAGAGCAAGTCTTACCAGCATCTTAGTTTATGTCCTCCCAGATTTCCTTAGTGGGCAAGCATAGAATTTTTTTTTAAACATGCATTTTTAAATTTTTTTATTTATTATAATTTATTTGTTTTGTATCCAAGCTGTAGCCCCAAACATGTTTTTTTTTTTTTTTTTTTTTTTTTTTTTTTTTTTGTTTTTTTAAATAAAAACACAATTTGAGACAGGATCTCATGTGTCCCAGGCCTAGAACTCACTAAGCAGTCAAGGACAACCTTGAATTTCTGACTCTGTCGTCTTTACCTCCTGAGTATCTGGCCTCCTAAGTGTGAGCCACCAGTGTGTGCAGTGCCGGGGATCAGAGTCAGAGCTTTGTATGCGTGAGGCGACTACCCTACCAAATGAGCCACACTCTACCCCAGCCCTAGACACGGACTTCTTAAAGAATTATTATCGTATGTTAAGTGTATGGGAATTTTGACTGCATGTATGTCACAATTGTCCCTTGTGTGCCTGGGGGTCTGAGTGGGCAAGAAGAGAAAACTGGATCCTCTGGAACCTGAACTGAATTATAAGCTGCCATGAGGGTGCTGGGAGCTGAACCTGGTCCTCCGGAAGAGCAGCCAATGCTTTTAACCACTAAACCATTGATCCAGCTTCAACAATTTTTTTTTTAACTCAGTGATGTAGAAATCTTTCCTCCAGTAACATTCAATATTCATGTGTCACAATTCAAGTAGCTAATCTAAACATTTGTTCCTAAATTTTCTAAAAGATTCGGGTAGGAGGTGAGCCATCAAGGCAGACCTTCCTTGTCTTACAGGATAAAGGTAACCTGGATTTTGTTATTTTCGACTTAGTTATATAGGAAAATAGCTTTTTCTTTCTTTCTTTTTTTCTTTTTATTTCCCTCTTTCCCTCTTTCTTTCTTTTTTGACACAGGGTCTCTATGTAGCCCTGGTTGGCCTAGAACTCTCTATATAGACCAAGCTGGCCTCAGACACACAGAGATCCGCCTGCCTTTGCTTCAGGGTGCTATGATTAAAGATATGCACCATCATGCCTGGAAAATGTGTAACAGAGGCTGGCCTTGAACTCATGATCCTACTAGCCTCTGCCTTGTCAGCATATCCTACAGGTGCCAGCTGTTCTCATTTTTAAAAGAAGTCTTTGCAAGTGAAGCATCCTGGTCTGTGTAATTCAAAAAACGCTAACAAAAATACATTACAATGAAATGGCAAAATATTCATATAATAACTACTGAAATTAGGTAAGGTGGGTATTCACCAACGTATCACTACTTTCCAGCATCTAGGGGAATTTTCCTAACAAAAATTGAAAATAGAAACAAAAAGAGCACTAGCAGTAGCACCATATATGTAAAAAAGGGACTGAAGAATGTCCTGTTTTGTTTTTATTTTTTCCAAGTTTTACAGAGATATATTACAGTAACAGGGTCTCATGTAACCCAGGCCGGCCTTGAACTTGCTGTGTAGTAAAAGATGACTTGCTATCTTCTCTTGCTATCTCCCAAGTGATGGAAGGACAGGCATGGCTACCGCACCGTGCTAACGTAAGTGCACCTTGTGAAATACCACTTTGACCAAGTTAGTTAAAAATTAACATATCTATCATTTCTTAGCATTGCCTCCCTCACTGTCTACGAGGGACTGAACTTAGGGCTTTATGTCAGCCGGAGAAGTGTTCTACCATGGAGCTGTAACTCTAGCCTTCTTTTTCAGTTTTACTTTGAGACGGAGTCTCAGCTGCATACTCAGGCTGGCCTTGAACTCACTCTGTAGCTTAAGCAGGTCTTGAGATTTTGACTTTTCACATTCAGCCTCTGGAGTAGCTTCGGCTATACACTTGCGCCACCAGGCCCAGTAGGGTTGCCATTTTGGGGGGTTTACAGTAACAGATCTGCAACACAGTCTTATCAATTAGAGTTGCCATGCTATGCGTGTGCCCCCGGAACTCACCCTGGACCTGGATGTGTCCTGGCACCCCTCAGCCCTCCACCCCTCACTGGTTGTCACTAATATCCTGTTCTCCCTCTTCCTTCCTTTCCCTTTCTTTTATTTATTTATTGGACATAGAGAGCTTAAGATATGAGGCCCAGGCTGGTCTCAACCTCCTGATGCTGAAATTACAGGACCACACTACAAAGCCCAGCTTCTGCCTTCTATTTTTGAGTTCAGCTTTTTTAAAGAGTTGACATAAAAGTGGAATCATATAGTATTTTTCTGAGTTATTTTATTTAACAGAACCTGCTCAAGATTTATCCATGTTGCTGAAAATGGCTTCTTTTTGTGGCTGAATAATAGTCTATTATGTTACATGTATCAAACTTTCTTTTCTTTTTGTATTAATTTTTGAGATGGGTCACAGGTAGACCAGGATGGCTTCACACTTACTATGAAGCTGAGGATGATCTTGAACTCCTAATTCCCCTGCCTCTACCTTCAATACTTTCAAAGTGCTAGGATTACAGCCATGAACCCCTCCCAACCCTATACTGCACTATTTTTTTTTAAAAGATAGACTGTCTTCACTATATAGCCCAAGCTATCCTTGAACGCACAAGCTTCCTGTCTCAGTCTTTGAAGTGCCAGGATTACAGGTACGCACAGCTACACCTGGCCCCAAATTTCTTTATGTATTCACCCATCAGCAGACACTTAGCTTGTGGTCATATCTTTGCTATAGTGAACAATTCTGTAATAAACACCAATGTGTAAAGATTCTTCCACTAACTGAGGTATAGGAATCACACACATTCATCGACTTCCCTCCCCAGACTCTACAACAAAGACACTTTTAAAAAGGCAAGAGAGCCAAAGAGCACAGGGCAGAAGGAAAAATGGCAACAGCTACCCCACACCATGAGGGCTCTTTTTAATGTGTTTGCTAATGACTGGCTTAGAAAGGGTTGTAGAAAATCACAGCACATTTAGTGTGTGTGTCCAATCCAAGTTCAGTATCAAGAAGTCACGTAAAGGGGGAAGGAGAGAATAGGCTTGTCCTCTGACCTCCACACAGGAGTTGCATACCCCCAACACACACACATGATAAGGAAGGGACAGGGAGAGAGAGGTACAACATGAAATGGAGCAATGCCTGATCTCTGGGGACTGGCGCCCCTCACCTGTGGACTACTTGTCACACTTGGTTGGAATCCTAATGACTGGAGTGTCAATAGTTGAGTGCTCTGCTCTCTGCACTGAAGAGCCTGAACTGATACAAGTATAAACAGATTTTCACATAGTTTTAGAAGACAGTGTGGCTAGCAAAGGACTGACTGGTAGAAAAGGAGCTGACTTATTCTACAACGCCTGGGAAGCCAGGTACCTGCATCTACTGAGGGCTGCAAAACTATGGATGGGTCTACAGCGGAGAATCAGGAGTTCAAGGCAAGCTTGGGTACATATTGAATTCAAGGCCAGCCTGGACTATATAGTGTAACACTATTTCAAGAAAGAATGAAGAGGGAGAGAGAGGGAGAGAGTTACAGATAGGGACTAAGAATAGCTGCACAGCAGCTGGCCTCCATGCCCGGTCATCTCCACATCTCTACTATCGAACACCACCAAATACCACCCTGGCTGGCAGGACACTGTCCCCATCTTAGTCAATTTTCTAGGGAAAAACAAAAATTTTCTTGTTGAAGAAAATGTACTGGAGAAGCTGCAGACACAAGCTTCCCAGAAGGTCAGGGAGCAGAAGTGAGGCACAGCTTAGACAGAAGCCAGGGATTGTCCCTAAGGAGGACTCCCAGGCACTCGAGCCAGCCGTGAGATCAAGCTGCATTCCTTCATGAAGAAAATGACCAGCCGCAAGGCATCTTCCAGGCTTCGGGCCTTGTAACTGGATGTTCTTTTCGGTTGTAGCTCCATATGGATACTTCCATGTGAAACTTGAGTTTCTGGGATCTATCTTTTAGGAGTGCATAATCAGCAATCACCTGGCATTTCTACAGCAGCCCCAATGTGAAGCTGACCAGCTAAGCACCAAAGACAATGACATATAAATGGGAAAAACCTGGAATGACCAGAGATCATGAGGGAATACGGGAAAAGCTAAAAACCCATCTTTAAGTTTACAAGAACGTTATTACCCTGTTTGGAGTGAGGCTCAGTGGTATAGCAGAGCACTTGTTTGTTGTTTGGCATGTGAAAGGCCCTGGCACGAGCAACTCCCAAAACAGAGTGGTATCACTTCAGAGAAATGAAGAATGTCTTGTAAAATAAACAATCAGATAAAACTAACGAGGTAAACCAGGCATGGTGGTGCAGCTTCATAATCTCAGCTACTCAGGAGGCAGGGGCAGGAGGATCTTGAGCTTAAGGTCTATAATGAGACCCTATAGTGCTCTGAGTAAGAATGGCCCCCATATGCTCATATCTGAATGCCTAGTCACTAGAGAGTGACAATTGAGAGGATTAAGAGATGTTGATCCCAGCATTCAGGAGGCAGTGGCAGGCAGATCTCTGAGTTGGAGGCCAGCCTGGTCTACAAAGTGAGTTCCAGGACAGCCAGGGCTAAAGAGAGAAACCCTGTCTCAGAAAACCAAGAGAGAGAGAGACAGACAGACAGAGAGAAAGAGAGAGAGAGAGAGAGAAAGAGAGAGAGAGAGGTGGCCTTGTTGGAGGAAATGTGTCACTGGGAATGGGCCTCAAGGTTTCAAAAGCT